TCGTTAAGCGCGCGACATTATTGTAATTTTGTTCTTAATTATATGTTTGTGTAGAATTTTCTTCTCGTAAGATTCACATATCTCTCTACTTTTCTTTTGCGATTTTTTAAAATTATTTTTCTTACAAAACGTATCTAAGAAGAATATAAAAAGTAAAAATTATAAACATTACTTTCTTTTTAAAAATTTCAAACACTTAATTTTTTCCTCTTATATAAAAAAATATACGTCTACATCATTTCGATCAATATAAATTGGAGACGATTGGATCATCAACGTTTCCGAGAATATACGAAGCGATGATACAGACGATTCTCGCCAAGTATGTGCCGTTTTACGCAATTTTGCTCAGACAGAAATTACCTGGCTTGCGCGGCACGTATTAATTAATAGGTAGCGTCGTAGGTCCTTTTTTCCTTTGATATAACGAAACGAGTCAATCGAAGATAACCGACTCTCCGACTCCGGAGCGAGAAAGAGGTGAGAAGGCAGGGGCGCCTTCGATCCCAAGCGAGATTTGGCGCTCGATCGCGCGCAATTTCTCCCGTGTCTGAAATTAATTAACCGCGATAATTAACGACGACGTTTCTGCGAACGTAACGCGCCGTATAAAACGCGAAATGGTTTCTATTTATCGCACGGTTGACGTTCCGCACGCATGCACACGCGCATGCACGTATTAGTGATGCGAGGGGGAAATGTTTCGCGCGCGATAATCCTAGATTTTACAGGGGAGCTGCAAATGCTTCTCGCAGACGGATCGAAATTTTGGGTATCGTGCAAGGACTGGCGATTATTTTCGTTTTTGATATATATATATATATATAAATATATATATATATTAACCGATATATATATTAATTTTAGCACTTTTCCAAGAGTCAATAATATTTAGCATATTCCGTGACTATAAATATGCCATTTATAAATATTAAAAATTATAAAGAATATGAAAATTATATATATTAGAAGAAAAAATTTTTTTTAACATGAATGAATTTACGCTTGTAAAGTATGTATTCATGCGCCTAAAACAGGTTTCATATGTGGCTCATAGATATTATAGATAAATAGATAAGTCAAGATTTTCCAAATATTTATAATTATAAATAAACTTGTTAACGTTAATATATGTTTAAAAAAAAAACTTATTTATATCCGATGCAAAATTTACGATATTAATCGATGTAGCATTCGTGTATCTCCGCTGGAAGATAAATCTTATTCGCGTATAAACAGGCTAAACTGGATTTAATATACCGGTATATATATTTTAGTATAAATGTTAAACATCTTCATACAAGCAGTGCGCAAGGAACATTGATTCGATTTCTATTTAACATCGATTAATTATCCGGGCGCGCAACTGAGTTTCCGGATTTACGCAATACATGGGCAATCTCGATGCCTCGCATTTGCAAACATGTTTGGAGGGAGCATGTTTATGGAACTTTCTTTGCAAACATACCGATTAGGGGAATATATGTAATCCCGTAGTATTTAATTAAATTTGGTTTAATTTAATCTAACTTAATTTAATCGAGCTAAAAATATTTTCCACGCGAATGTCTCCTCTCGTCCCTGCCAGGAGCGGAAAAATCGGCCGACGATTATCTACACGCGTGAAAGCGCAATATCGAAATGGAGCGAAGAAGGGGCGAGAGGAACGGTACGGTATGAAGGAGAAACGATTCCGGTGCGACAATCGCGGTCGAGTTGCGTTATACACGGATGTTCCACGCGCGGGACAATCTGCTCACGGATGATCGATCGCGCGCAATCCTGATCGACGCGACGTGAAGGATCGATCGATCGATCGATGGATTCGAAAGCGGCCTTTCATTTTTCGCCCGATCGCGATATTATCGTTTGCGACGGCCAATTTCTCGCATCTCGCATTCGACGGCTCGCCGCGTAATTAATTAATTATCCCGACGCGTTTTCTAATCGGAATAATCGACAATCGTCCCGCCGCTTCACTGCCTCCCCATTCCACCCGCGATTCCGCCAATTGTGGAAAACATTGCGTTAATTGTACAGAGAACGTTAGTTACGGTTCGCTGTGAGTCAATTATTCAATTAATACGAGTGGCGCATTGTTGTATACGAATCAAATATTTCGTGCTGACATTTATTCGTTTAAATCAGTATTGTGATTTCTCTCTTTCTATTTGTTCTTAAAAAATAGATTCTCATCGGTTATAAATTGATTTTGCAACGTTGACTTTTTGATATTATCAACACTAAATTTCTCGAAAAAATATCATGCCAATTAAAAATTATTTTTTTCTTGCGTCATTACTCATACATTATATTAATTTTTTTTAAATTTATGAAACAAGTTCAAAAATCAGGAAGCCTTGCCAAATACTCGTGGATGCTGCACTCCATTTTGAAAATTTTTAAAAAAATCAACGACACTCGGGCAACTAGTATCTCTCGTAACTGCATACGAAGAGCACCGTTAAAATCTCCAATACGGATTAAAATTCAGGGTTTTGTGTAAAAAAAAAAAAATCGAACGTCGAGCTCCCCGATAAGAGCGAAAATCGCACGGCTCTCGGGCCGCATTCGAGAGAGCGCCTTCCATTTCTCGCTCGCGCGCTCTCGGCTCCATAGCTCCCGAAAATAAACAAGGGTGTCCTCTCGCAATCACCGATCCAATTAAATCCGATTACATTTTTCGCCGCCGTGCGGCCCTCGCGCGAGAGAATCTCTCTCTGGTGGCGCGTTCCCTTATCGATTCGAAACGATTTTAGAGGGTGGTTTTACCCTCCGACGTTTTTGATTTCGGCTATGCGGCCTCCGCGATACGAGACTTCGGGAGCAACGCCTCGCCGCTTCGAATTAAGGGGACAAGCCCCGAAAGAGCGCGGTCTAACCCCGGGATCGTTCGGCAAGAGAGACGGGACAGGGAGAAGGGGAAGAAGGGGAGAGACACCGGAGGGGACGAATAAGTAGACAAGAAGGGACGCGGAATCGAGCGGGTCTTCTCGATGTTTATTTTTTTACTTCTCGAGAGACCAGAATACGCAACCCCACGACGGGTCCCCGATCCCATAGACTCAATAAATATGGCGTTGAATAACGGATACACCCGACGTTCCTAGAGAGTCTCATCGGTGACACAAGATTATTGTTGTAGCCCCTGAAATCTGCGACGATTCGGCAGGAGCATTGGAATGGCATTCGCATGGAATGAACAAGAAAAGAAAAAGCGCGAATTGATGTGCCTGCTTACGTCGCCAAGATGCAGATTTATAGGGATAAACGAAAAGAGAATGAGAGGGATTATATAACGGAATTTTACCAAATTTAAAGTTATAAAATTTCACTGGTATGCATTTTGCTTTGCGGCTAAGTTTTCTTTGAGCAAAATTGCCAATTTATTAAAGAATTCAATAAAAAAATATAATCACTCCGTGTATCGTTAAAATAGAAATAGAAAACCAAGATTGTTGCAAGTTTCGAAGCATTGTTATAAATTAACGAAAAAAAAGGCAACAATTAATATCTGACACATAAGTGTATTAAATAAAATACATGTCTGTTTTATGCAAATTTCGCTTATATGTTGAAAAATTTTAATTATTTAATTACCGCGCACGTGAGAGCTTATAAAATCAAAAATATAATACTGATTGTGAGATATCGCGAGACAAAAATTACGCTTTTTGCGGGATAAAATGAAGCTTAATGAAAATTGAGCAAAATTTTCTATCGGTAAAAAAAAATAATTAGTAACCATTAAATTTACACTGCGATCATAAAGTGATAGATAACGTTTTAATATGCATTGTAACTCCCTTTCCCCTGTCGCTACGGAAAGTAATACGTTGCCCGGAAGTTACAAAGGATTAGCCAGCTTCAAAGCTAGCTGCATCCACGTCCATTTAATTTTGCATTCGTAAACAGCGTCCAGATGTTTAGCTCGCTACAGCATCGCATATGGCGACTCCCCATCAGCTAGTATCATCGATCTAACTCCGTATCGAAATATCCTTGATATTAAAAACGAATGCATCGAATTTTATATTTGAAAAAAGTATCTTATTTGATGGAACTTTTTTATCTGATACGTATAAAATATTTTACATATTATTAAGTGCGTCCTAATTTTTATAATAATAATGTTACGATCGATTCATTCATGAAATATGACAAGAGAAATTATCGATAATATTCTATCAATTATATTCGTTCGCGAGAGCTTGCGTACATATACATGCGCAAATTGAATCTGCTTTACAATATATCAACTATATCTCAAACCTACGTAACTCTACTCATAAGCGCTCCGAAAACGCATTCTCTTCAACGCACAAACCTACGCTAAGCCACGAAATGAAATTGCAGTTGTACGTCTTGCAATTTGAACAAGCGTCGGCATTTGAACATGTTTAAATATAATTGAGGCTTATTACGCGACGCGAAATCAATCGATGCATTTTAACAAGGTAATTTATGAATATAAAGTGAAAACATTTCATTGTCAATTAATCACAAGTATAGTGGCATTCATATTGTCAAATTTTAGTTCGAAGCTATTTTAACTATCTGTCAAAATATCTAATGTCGAAAAATAAATCAAATTGTTTAATTCATCTTTCGATCGAAATATTGCACGATTTTTCACCGAGCGTTTGATTTTTCAATTGTTCGATTTAGTTAAATTAAAGTACATAAAAAATATTAAAAGAGAATATTATCGCAAATTTATATTCGTATAAAATTATTGATTATTAAAGTGATTAAAACGTATAATTAGAATGTATTGAATTGGATATTTAAAAAAATAAAAGAAAAGTATAGTAATGTATTTCTCGAGCCAGGTGTTTTGCCACACGTAGATTAGATTCTAAATATACGCAAGTCTCTCTCTCTAGACTCGCATTATTTTTACGTAACTCCATTATCGCAACATGAATGAAACCCGTATGCAAAAACGACAGGCGCGTAAACCATTATTACTATCATTATCGAGATCGCGTTCCACCAACCTTTGCACTCGTTGGCGTCTCTGGCGGTGGCCCTGGCCCACGGCCGGTCGAAGTGGAAGGGCCGACATCGCTCGCAGTCCCTGCCAGCGGTGTTGTGCCTGCACTCGCAGACGACCTCGCCGTCCTTGCCGGGGATGCAGCGCGCCGCGTGGCCGTTGCACTTGCACCTGCCGCCCACGGCGAAGTCCGAGACCGCGTAATGGTGGGCCATGGTGGCGGTGGCCGGGCCTAGACCGGCCGGTACTATCATCACCACGCCGTTGCTGGCCGGCGTCGGCGTCGTGGACGTGGAGACGGTGATCGGGACGAAGCCCATGTCCCGCACCGCGGAGTCGATCGCGTCGTTGGACTGCATCTCCTGGGGCGCGAGCACCTGGTGCACCGACGGCAACGCCGTGACCAGGGGATCGTGCTGCGCGTGAAGGAGAATCGCGTTCTTCTGGCTCTTGAGGCGCTCCTCCCGCTCCCTCTTGGTCAGCTCCTCGACGCCGATCGCCGCGATGTGATGTTCCTCGGCGCCATTGTGCGACGTCATCTGATCCGGCTGCTGCGGCATGTGCAGTCGGTTGAACACCACGCGGATATCGGTGGCGGTAACCCAGTCCTGCAGCACCGGCGAGTTGTCAAAGTCGGCGGCGGACGGTCGGCCCTCCAGGGTGCTGAAGGCGATTCTGCCGACCGGGCCGAGGCCGTCTCCCCCGGTGTAACGATGACTATCGGTGCATCGCGCCTCCTGCTCGTTGGACTTGGTGATGGTGGCGCGATTCGGTCTGCCGTAGACCCGCCGGCACTGCGACGAGTAGAACTGGAACGGCTGCCAGGTCTTGCCGTAATCCATGGACTTGTAGATCGCGATCGAGTCCGGCTTGGCGGCGCGCGGGCAGAACTGCAGACTGACGTACGTCAACTCGTACTTCTTGCCGAGCGAGAGGGTGAGGGTGACGTTGTCGGGCGGTGCCGAGAAGCTTTGCGAGCTGACGAGCGGCTCGCTGCGCCAGCAGGTGACGTTGTTGGGATTGTTGAGATCGGTCAGGTAACTGGCGGGGAAGCGCCGTCGAGGTGTGCTGTCGTCGCACACGTGGCAGTGGCCGATGCCGGCGGTGCCGCCGGGCTCGTCATTCACGTCGCAGTAGCGGGTGGGCCCGCCGGTGCCGCACGTGGACGACGCTTCCACGGTCGCCCCGAAGGCCGCGTTCACGAAGTCGGGAATGCAGCGTCGCGGCCGGTCCTCGTCGTAGCACGGGTCGCTGGGGCTCTGCTGGCTGGAGAACATCTTGGGGTAGATCTCGCCGCGGGCCTGCTGCGCCGGCAGCAGCAGCAGGAACTGGCCGAACAGGATCGTCGCGAGGACGGTCCGGAAGGAACGCGGACCTCGTTGCTTCTCCGTCATGTTTCCGCACCGATGGCGAACGTTCTTCGGGGGGAGTTACGGGGACGCTACGGTGACCGCGAGAACGAGAGGAGGTTCTCGCCTCTCTCGCTTGACTTTTCCCTCCGAGGTAGAGGGACTGAAACGCGATCGGTCTTAGGCCACGCTCCGCGTCATGTTGAAATCGGATCACGTTTAATTTCTGTTGTCCGTCTCTTTCTCCCTCTCTCGCTTTCTCTCTCTCTGTCTCGCTCAATTCTCTCACTCACTCACAGCGATTCACATTATATCGATACCGGTCGAGATTATTCCTACGATGGTCGCGATGAATTTTGTTATTATACCTTCACGAAAAAATAAAACGCACTGTTCCACGCACTGAAACCAGATTACCGTTCGGGGGAAGGCTCGTTTGGTTCACCGCTCCGAAGAGTTCCTCTCGCTCGAGGAAACTTGGATCTCCGGAGACGCGTTTCGTCCGGATCGTTGCGATCGACGGACGAGCTCGGTGGCGCGAAAAGCGAGGGGGAGAGAATCGAAACCGACGATAAAACAATCCCAATCTCGACAGCGGCTCGCCGCTAACTGAAACGCCGTCCTCGCACGATGCGCATCCGAACTGCCGCGAGTCCCTCTCCGGTCGCGGGCCCTCCCCACCCCGCCGCGACCGAGGCGATGCGTGCACCCTCCCTCCCTCTTCATCCCCTTCACTCGCTTTTCTCTCTCATCTCCGTTCGGCCAACGACTTGGTCGCACTCGCTCCCGTGCTCACGTGGGCCAATCGGACGGCACGCTCGCGGCCCCCACACGCGAGATGGTCCACGGATTCAAAGCGCCGGAGGGATGCTGCGTGCGCTACCATGGACCAGAATCGGTCAACTGACCCCGAGGATGCTTTTCTCGAATCAGAGAGAAAGGATGGGACGCATTACGTGTGGCTTTTCTTATTTTCTTTTCTATTTCGGCGATTTTAAACCTGTTAACCTGTTGGCTCTCTCTCTCTCTTTCTCTCTCTCCCTCTCGTTTGATTTTGAGATTTTGTTGCTTTTCGATCGCACGTGCTTCCAATTCAGTACGGATGACAGATTGTAAAATAATATTCTGTATAATATTCGAATTATTTATATATTAAATATCATAGAGAAATATACTTTCCACGAGAAACATTCGAAAGAGATGTCGAAGAAATGTACTTATATTCTATTCTTTTCTCCAAGATTTTAGTACGTTGTGGCAAAAGCGGAAAGTTTCTTACGTAATCGCACTTGAAAGAAATGCTTTCGAAAAAAACATGTCAGTAATAGTGAAAAAATATATACATTTTTCTTTAATCTTATCAAAAATGACCTGAAAATTCACATCCGATTAGATTTTATATTATTTGTCCTTTGAAATAACGTTGTACGATAATTTTCTGTCACAAGGCAGGGATTTACATACATGAATATATTATACGATATGCAATATTATGTAACATCACAATTCCCTGTATATATCGTCTTTGCGTAGCACATGGTGCATAGTGGACAGCGTGTATGTGTACGTTAGTTTGTCTTTGGCCGTTCAATCATCGGCCCTCTATATACTCGAGCATAATATTGCTCAATGTAATCCGTTTCCGTTAATACACTACCGCTGAATGTCGCCTCTATTGAGTAATGTCTTGATTAACTGACTCTGATTGACGATTTGTTTTTCTAGTTTAAATAACTATAGTTTAAATGATGAGGTACAAAATGCCAAAATAAAATCTTTCTGATTGCAACGAAGATGTATTGTTATGTAACATCATGATGCAAATAGACCCTCCGACTAAATAAACATGATAAAATAAACAGTTAATTAATATACTTTATTATATATATTCCCTCGACGTCGAAAAATACGAAAATTATTTCCTCTAGAAAAATTTAATTGAGCATTATCCTTCTTGTACAATATTTTGTATCCGAGTCTCAAGGTATAAGCTTCTTTAAAATTAAGAGCCGCTCGTATAGCACTAAATTATTGACGTTTTAATATCTTTGATAAGAAAGTTGCTTCGATTCTCGATTACGGTTCCGTTGAACGAATACATATCATAAGATATGAATATTATTATTAATGTTCAAGAGCGGATGCGAAAGGTATCGATGAAGCAATCGAACAGCGTTCGTCTGTCAATGGGACATGTTCATTCAAGGAATCGGTCGCCGCGAGCGGATCGTAAAGAACGCTCGCTTCTCTATCCCGTGTTACAAGAGGAATTTATCCGCGGATTATTTCACCGTGATCTCCCTGCGGGCGAGTGGGTTCTTCCGTCGATTTCGTCCAGAGAGAAAGAGAGAGAGAGAGAGAAAGAGAGAGAACGGATCCGGTTGCGCGCGGCGAGTTTTCTGCCGCTCCATTGGTTGGCGTCGAATTGGCGATTGAAGAAAAAAAAACAGACCAAAATGTAAAAAATGAGGAAGAAGGAACGAGAAGAAAAGTCGACGAGGAAGAACGGAGAGAAAAGGCAGCGCAACGTCTGTTGCCGTCACGCAAACTTCTGTGTTGGACCGCAATATGGAAAGGTCTCGTTGGCTCGTCCGTAACTTGACAGCTCGAAATCTGGCATTGGATACGATAAATATAGGTCCAGGCGAAATTAAGTCAGTCGCGGATCTCTTCGTGAGTCTAAAGATTCATCTAACAAAGATTCGTTATAGTTTTTTCTCTCTGTCTCTCCCTGCTTTAAATTCTTCGAGGCAATCTCTTTTTCATTAGCGTAGATGGCGATAACTATACTGTCAGCACTTTCCCGATTTTTTTCTTATTAAAGAGATAGCCTAGCATCATGTGACGTTAATTAGTATATCTTTTTCGATTGTATTTCATTTATATAATCTTTTTATATTATTTAAAATTCTTTCTTGACATTAGTCGTTACGTAAAGCTATTCAATAAAAAAAACTATTAAATTTGCGGTTCAAATATATGAATTAACACGAATCAATAATCAAATTAATTATCTACATCAAATAATAAAATTAATTAACATAAGAATTAATATAAATTTTACTTCAAGAATTTTGATGGAGACTATTCAAGATACAAGATATTCAATGTCAAGACCTTAATTGTCGGAAATAACTCTTAAAATTAATTTTTTTAATTTAAAAATCTTACAAAATTGTAGAGAAAGAATCGCGTTCAAAACATATTGTGTACACTTAAATATATGCAACGTTACTATAAAAAGTGAAGAAAGTAGAATCGCGTCGGTGTCGATATAATTCGCTCGAGATGGAAGACGCGTGAAAACGCAAAACCACCGCCACCGTTTAAGGGCGCCCCGCAGTCTGACAAAAGGCAATTTATGTATCAAAAAGCCATCCTCCGAGCAGGCAAAGTATCCAAATGCGGATTCCAAAGTACCCAAAGCACAAGAAACATAATTATGGCGTTCGACGCAGGTGGTGGCTGGAATGCTTTTCACAAGCGCTACCTCTTCGCGCTTAAAACGCATTTCTTCTTTTGCGCGGTCTTTAGGCCTCGTATTCTGTGTCGAAAATCGGGGAGGATTATTTAGGATATATGAGTGTCCTCGCACACGCGAAGGAATATTTCGCAACTGTAAGAATAATATTTAATAATACCATCTGACAGAATTCGCATGGATTTGTACTTTCGATGGATTGACTTTCTGAATATTTTTTCGACCCGACAATTTTTTTACGAGATGCGTTATTATTTATAATTATTTAGGCACATGTTATTCTGTGATATTTATAGCAATTGTAATATTGCGTACAATTATGTATATATGATATATACAAACAAAATTATAGATAGATTAGTTTTTATTACAATTTTCTGTCATATCGTTTCGTAAAAAATGTATATGTGCTATAATAACTTGATGTAATATTTTGCAATATTTTTCACTCTAATTGCCTACGTCGTAGAGAAAAGCCTAAGCTTTGTAGGCATACAATATTAATCCCAAAATATCGGTATCAATTAAATAATTATACTTTGCGGATTCTATAAAACCGATAAATGCAGTTTTAGAATCGTAATACTATCTCTCCGATCAATTATTCATTTAATTCAAGGATAAATGAACTGACGGGTTTTTACAAACTCAGAGATTATCATCGCTTTCGTCAATTATTCATTATGCGGAGAAAGAGTTTCCTTTAAAGTGTGTATTACTATACAGGTTGTTTCAAAATATTCTATTCGAATTTTAATAACGGATATCTTAGGATCTCGATTTTTCATCATTTCTTACACAATTTTTTATCATTTAACGTTACATATTTTGGTAATTTGCTTCGAATAAAAATTTCAATAAAAATTCGCATGAATTTGTATATTCAAATTTATAATTAATTATATTTTCAAAAAATTCTTTATTTTTCAATCATTTTAATTTAAAAGCTATTCCTGGGAAAATGGGAACCAATTTTTCGTGAATTAAGCTTTAAAAATACACGTAAATATTTTAATCTTTAATTAATTTCAAATGAACTCAATAAATTCTATAGGTCGCGATAAATAATTATCTCTACCAATAATTTCCAACAAAATTTTTCATTTAAAAGAATTTACCTTTAACTTTTGGTGCATTAATTATGAATCACCCTATACAATTATGCTCTAAACTTGATTCCCACGTATAAATATAACATTAATATTGTCTGTAACTGCTTGAAATATGACTGCCACGAATACGGCCGCCATTAACTATTCATTACACTGATCGAAAACCAGCAAAGAGCACCAGATTTAAAGTCTTGGAAGCCATGATATCGGTGAACGAAATGTCATAAATTTGATAAAAAGTTATCACCATCGTCCGCTTGCGTGCATCAAGGCGAATGTGACCCGGTGCACTCAATGATTAAAAACACCCTCCCTTTTCTTCTTCGATTTATGACGCAGTTATTATGAATAAGAAAATTATAGCCTTGGAAAATTAATATCAAATATTAATATCAATGTTCAAATCAATCTCATAAAATGTTTCAACCCTCGCATTCAAACATGACATGTTTCTCTCTTTATATCTTACATATCTTCTTAAATCACACAGCCAGTGCAATTATTACAAATATAATTTAAATATATTTAGTAAATTTTAATTAACGTTAATATTGGCGAATTTAATCAAATTTGCAGTCATCAAACCTCCATCTTTGAGAATCTTCTTCGTCACATCAGTGCTATATTTCTCTCTCTCGGAATTATGTCTTTTATCGAACTTCGGGGCACACGACGAGCGAATCGGAGAGAAATCTATGAACGCGTGGACGATGGGCAGCATTCATTAATCGAATTAATATAATCTGGACGAATGGCTGGATGGGCACGAAACGGCCGTGATAACGTTCGGGCTTTACAGCTTAGGCTTCGCGCGGATTAAAACTTGAAAACGCTATCGTTGACACCGCTGACCGATCGCGATATCCTTTTCTCGCCCTTGCTTACGAGATCAGGGTTCTTATAGGCGCCTTCCGTTTCTACGGATCGACCCCTTTCATGCCGCTTCCTGTCGCCCTGACCGTGGATAATGATCGGCCTGATGAATATACTTCGTAATAAAGGCCATTGCGAAAGATCGAACAATCTCTTCC